TTAACATTTCACCACTAAAATTGATGGTTGTTGTGGGTTTTTGGATATACCTCTTATTAGAGTGAGTTAGTTTATTACTATTAGTTTACTTTCTGTATGGCTAAGACTGTTTAGTTGATGGTAAAAACTTGAGGATTCATAAACAGATTCATGTATATGAGGCAAAGGTACCACTTCCATGTAGTGGGGGAAAATGGTCTTTAAATATAATAAATAGTGATTGAGCAACTGGATATAAATATGAAAAAAATCAATCCCCTCTTACATCATACACATAAAACAATTTCATGGAATTATATACCAGAGTGTTGAAAATCAAACAATAAAGATTCCAAAGACTTAAATGTCTATCTTCATGACTGCTGTGTGGGCAAAGACTTCCTAAACAGGACACAAAAAGCACTAATCATAAAGACTAGTTCTTCATCAAGATACCACACAAGAAAGAAAAGGGAAGACACCGGTCAGAATAAGATATTTTCAATGCATATATCCATCAAAGAACATGTATGTATGTATGTATCCTCCAAAAAATATGTAAGAAAAGCCATACAACCAAAGTTAAAAATGACCAAAAGGCTCACATCCTTCACAAAGGTGATACCCAAAACAGCTAACAAACGTGATAGCAGTGTCCAACCACAGAATGAAAAGAGGAACTGAAAAAGAAATTGACTATGCCAAGCGTTGGCAAGGATTGTGGAGCAACTAGATTTTCATGCAGTACCTGTATCTGGCCCATGCCTCTTCAGGTCTCACTACTTCAGTGCATTCCAGCAGGTGGCCGATGTATGTGTCTTCCTAAGGGCTTTCTCTGGGTTTAAGAATAGTTCTGTCTGTAAGAGCAGTAGCCCAGAGGTAGCAGAGAATAAACCATCCCTACCCAGGGGTAATCCTAACCAAAGACCAAGTGGAGTGGTGTATAAATACCCCACTCCCTTGCTCTCTGATGTGTATTTCATATCATTTCCAGAGATCATCAGTAGGCTGAGCTCTAGTACTCACAGTGGTAAGTTCCTTAATAATGTATTCTTCGTTGACTCCCATACCTTCCCCATATTACTTCCCCACTTCTTATCAAGATTTCTTGGGGCCATCTCCAATATAAGCCACAGGGATAAATATGGGGAAACCCAATAATGCTTAATTAAAAAGAGAAGGATATGGGTTATAGCTCTGAATTTGCAGGAGCCATAATAAGAGTTACTTAGGATAGATTGCTGTAGTGATACAGTACTGGTATATTGGGATATACCTCACCACTATTTTCAATGTAAAAAGTGCAATCATTATGTTTACCAGATTGTGAAGGGTTCGGATAAGAATTGGGAGGTGAAGGCACTTTATTTTCTATTCAATGGAAAACCAGGTGAAGTTGTAAAACACAAGAATGCAATGTCTGGATATGTTAGAAACTCCCTCTGACTTCAGGATGGAAGAAGGGTCAGAGGGGAAAGGACAGGAAGCGGGTACCCTTTAGGTAGCTATTTTAATTATCCAGGGGTAAGATGTGAAGGGCTGCATCTAGGGCAGGGGCTGTGGAACTGGCAAAGAGAGGATGGATTTTCCAGATATTGACCAGGGGAGGGTATTGGCAAGTTTTAGTGACCAATTAGATGTAGGGGTTGAAGAAGAAAGAGACAATTTCGTGTTTTGGATGTTGATGGATGATTTAACTACTTTTACTGAGGTCACTTCAACAATTCCTTGTTCTTGTAACAGGGGTCCCCCTGGTGGTAAAAGAAAACCAAGAACGGGATTTCTTAACCTGGGTACCTGCTATTGTTGGACACAATTGTGCAACTGAACCTAGTCGCAAGATCACAGCAGAGGGATCCCCTTCTTTGTGTGTGTGTGTGGTAGCAAAGACCCACATCTAGAAAAAGCTGTAAGCTAAAGGGAATGGGTAAAGGTGATCAAAATGTGCAAACTCCAGGTTATAAGATGAATAAGTTCGGATGATTTAATGTACAGCATGGTGGCTATGGTCAACAATACTGTACTGTATACCTGAAAGTTGCTAAGAGAGTAGATCTTTAAAGTTCTCATCACAAGAAGAACAAATTTGTAACTATGTGCGCTGATGGATGTGTTAACTAAACTTATGGGGATGATCATTTTGCAGTATATACATATATCAAATCATGATGTTACATGATTTAAGGTATACACCTTAAATGCATACCATACTTTAGGTCAATTATATCTCAATAAAGCTGGAAAGAAATCTTCCCGAATAAACAAGAACAACTGAGAGCTGATGGTTGCTGATGGGTCAGAAAGTGGGGCCTGACAATGACCTTCACCCACTCAAGGCAGGTAGCTTCTGGCCACCTTCCCTCTCCAAGAATCTCCATGTGGTCCAGAATGGGGTTGGCTGCTATGTGTGGTGCGGAATCCATCGGGCGTGGGAACTCTCCCATCAGTGATCTGATTTCTTAAAAGAGTACAGCAGAGGAAAGAGGAGAGACTCTAAAGCCAGACGCACCTGCACCTGAATGCTGGCTCTGCCACAAATCTGCTAGTATCCATGAGTTACACCTGACAGTGCCTAGATGGTTGTGAGGTTTGAGGGAACGTGTGTAAAGCACTAGCCCAATGCCTCCTTAACAGTTGGAGGTAATGAGGCCCTTAAACAGCGGTTCTCAACCTGTGGGTCGCGACCCCTTTGGCGGTCGAATGACCCTTTCACTGGGGTCGCCTAAGACCATCCTGCATATCAGATATTTACATTACGATTCATAACAGTAGCAACATTACAATTATGACGTAGCAATGAAAATAATTTTATGGTTGGGTCACAACGTGAGGAACTGTATTTAAAGGGCCAGAAGGTTGAGAACCACTGCTTTAGGCAACTAGTAGGGTCTTTGGGATCCTATTAATTCATGAATATGCTAATAAAAAAGGGGCAGCTCCAAAGCTGACTCATAATATTACGAATCCATCTGAAAGTGCCAGGGCCAAGTAATGAATCTAAACACACAAGGTAGAGCCCCAGAGACTTCTCTCTTCATGGTTTCTCTCTGAATGCCTTGGGAATAGCCCTTGAAATAGACAAGAGGAATTTTCTAAAAAAGGTACATTTGAATAGGCCTGAGTCATCGACTGAGATATTTCAGAAGCTTTCCATTTCGAGCCTCTGGCATGTTTCTGATTATGCATAAATACCTTGCTTGTTATATAAATACACAGCGAGTGTAACCTTTTGCTAAGCAATGCAAAGCAAACAGCTACAAGAAGATCTGAGAAAAGAGCCACAGAGCAATTGCTTCTGATGGTTCCCACTCACCAGTCCCTGAGGATCCTGGAAAGGTTTAAAGTGATAAAGCTCTAAGTTACCTCTTGAAATCACCGCAGCCATTTTTCTCTCCCCGGGAGCTCCGCGTGCACATGTATTAGCTGGTCTTATCCATCTGTAAGCCCCTGTAAGCTCGCTAATGAAAACAACCACCTCTTCTGGGCTTAACTGCACGTTATTGAGTGTTCTGTCTCTCATGCTATAAATGCACAGTAATGAGAAGTGGGCTGTTTATTAGGGACCACCAGCATGCTAGGCAAATATGAATCAGGTATTTCACTGATGTGCCCAGAAAGTAACATCTTAAAGGTCAGTCCATAACCATAAAAACAACCAAACCAAAACAAAAAACTTCCTTAATGCACCGCACACAGACTGGCTATTTTGAATAGCAGAAGGGTTTGACAAGCTTAATCATGTATGATGTCTTTCGTAAGGGAAACTGAGATTCTACTATTATAGTAATTCCCCGTATTATATCTGGTGCCATATTCTTGTTAGTGCTTTTGATTTTAAATTGTTTTGTAGAAGGGTATAACAACTGGCATTTCATATTGTTCTGGACACATAACCATAATCTGCCAGATATTATGGAGGGTATAATGTTGTGAGTGTCAGTACCAGAGAGCTTATTACGTGAGTGAATAGGTATCAAAACCAATGGGCCCCCCACATCAATTCTCTTCAGGTTTTCCCCTTTTACTTTCTGTAATTCCAGGGGATACAGCTGTTACCTTAGCCACAGGATGGCCGAAGCTCATGGTTAAAGGGGCTGGTCTGACATGCTTCTTATAGTCAGGAAAGGTTGAATTAGGCCAGAGTGTAAAAGGCAAACAGAGGGCAGCTCCTACCTGGCTGTGAGGGCCTCCAGCAGTTGTACAAACTTGAGGAGCAGAATAGTGCTTATGAGGTATTTGCTAAGTGGAACCTGAGTCCTGCCTTAAAAACCATAGAATTTTAAAGAATTATATAATATTTATAATAAAAATATTTTAAAATAAAAATTTAATTGTTCTTTATTTTAAATTCTATGTTATTACATGTGATTTTTATATTTGTTTTGAACTTTTTCCTATCATTAAATATTAACTTGATTATTCTTTAAACTTTTAAATTCCACAAATAAGTTCTCCTTGCTCTACTTGGACAGGATTTTGGCCAAATTACAAATGGATCACTTTCTGTATAAGGGGTGCCACAATTACATCTACACGAATGTATACTTATTTGTGTAATTGTACTTGTCATAACCCAGATTGCTCCCAACCAAAGAAGCCTGAGATATATAAAAAATGAATAGATGCATTCATCTGTGTGTGTGTGTGTGTGTGTATGTGTGAGAATTAGGGCTCTTAAAAAGAATACCTATGTTCATGTGTTTGTTGGGTTTGTGGCCCCTCCGTTTGAGAATTGTCTGGGATATGACTCATCCCTCGCCTGTGGTGCTAGTGTTCAGGTTCAAAGCCATTTTTCAGTCATAACTGGTTGTGTAGGCATCACAAACAAAGCCAAAAGCAGGCCGCTCCCAAAACACTCTATCTTTCCCCTCATCTTTGCTGGTGGTCTCCAAGCATGTGGGCCAAATACGTGTACACATGTCTGGGTAGCAGTTTCCATCCATGTGTTTTAAAAGAAAACACTGAGTGAGAAGACCTTTAGCCCGGCAGTTTGGGAATGCCTGCTGTGAGCTGACTCTTACCTTCCGGTAGGCCCAGAGCTGGTTCCCCTTCATGCCGTGACAGTCATAGAGAGTGACCGGGCTGCTGTGTGAGATCGCGTCGAAGCAGAACTTTCGGGTGTGCAGCGGCTCACCAGGTCGAATGTCTTCTCTCCATCCAAAAGTAAAGAGCTAACGAAGTGACAACAGCAGAAAAGATGCAGTGAGTTTCATTTGAAGACATTCGAGAGCAGGGGGAGCAATTTAGATCTGTTTTGGGACTTACAAGAAAGAATTAAGTCTCGGCATCATAGAGATGTTGAAAAAGGCATCCTATAAAATAAAAGCCTAGGTGGTGTCATGCCCTTGTGCAACGCCATCGGGCAATGTCACAAGATGGCCACCAAAGCTAGCTGCATGCACAGCAGAGGCAGGGCCCAGTGGCCACTCCACGCCATGATGCCTGGGGGTCCCACAGTTCTGCGCTGCATGGAGGGGGCTGGTCCTGGTGGAGGAGGTGGGTCACGGCAGGGTAGGGCAGTTGGGGGCAATCAGGACAGCAGGAGAGCTGTTAGGTGATCAGGCCAGCAGGCAGAAGTGGTTACGGGCAATCAGGCAGGCAGGCAGGCCAGCGGTTAGGAGCCAGCGGTCCTGGGTTGTGAGAGGGATGTCTGACTGCAGGTTGAATATCCCCCAAGGGGTCCCAGATTGGAGAGGGTGCAGGCCGGGTTGAGGGACACCCCCTACCCCCGTGCACAAATTTCATGCACCAGGCCTCTCATGTAATATAAAGTGTATGGCAGTAACAGCTGCACCTTTGGCTGAGAGCACCAAAAATGCAAATGAGGAGTGTCCAGTTTGGTACTAGAAAAATAACAGAGGATGGTGTGCAGATGGGAGGAGAGGAAAAACTCCTTAATGAAGCTCTTCATATTCTTCAGTTTGATAAAATGCCACAGTCAGCCTAAATGAGCAGACTCACTGGAAAAAAACATCACAGGAGTAGAACTGAGCTGGATTGATGTTAGTAATTTTTTTAGAAAGTTGGTTTAAATGAAAGCTAAGCTTGGTGAAGTAAAGAATAGGCAAATCAATGTCCTGGGGGTGGTGAGTAATTACGCAGGGCCATGTTTTGAAGTAAGAAGTACAGTTCAAACACACTCACACTCACACTCACACCCACTCACACACACGCTCATACACTCACACACTCACACACATGCGCACTAACACATGCACACATACACATACACTTACTCACACATGCTTACATACACACACGCGCGCACACACAGTCACATGCACACATGCATACACACACACAGTCACACACACTAACACGTGCACACAGAGACACACATACTCACATGCACACACACATTCTTGCTCATACACACTCTCACATGCACACACACTCACATACGCATGCACACTCACACACACACTCACACACACACACTCCCACTCCCACACACTCACATGCACTCGCGCGCGTGCACACACACACACACTCACGCATACACTTCCCCTCCACTAAAACAAATTTCATGAAACAATATTTATCTTTACTGGATTTTAATAGACTCTGATATTCCATCCAACCTCATCCTATCCTAGTCTATTCTATCCTATCCATGCCATTCCATTATTTTAAAAATGCTTCTAATGATGCACTAAATTAATTGTATAATGTATTAAAATTTTTTAAGACCC